ACTGTGAAAATCCATTCGAGCCCATTGGTCTTAGCAAAAAGAATCCAACTCATGGAAATGCGCACTAGTCCCAAGTGTCCTCCGTGACCGGACATATTAAAAAGAAAAAAGACAAACACACACCCTTCCAGCCTTGAGAAGTCTGGAATTGGTTGGGAAAGCAGGTTAACCTCAAAAACCTCCTGTTCGCATTTCGTGTGGGGGAGTGGGAGGCTCCAATCAAGCCTTGTATGAAAGATTTCCTAGGCAACTCCCAACGGTTTTGAAGCGGTCTCTGAAATGGTTCCTCGACCGCATAGATTCGTAGACTCGCAGCTTCAAATCAGGGGACAAGGAGTGCGAATCTCCTTTGGTCGAACCATTCCCCTTCACTCGAAACTTGGTTCAACATAAGAAAACAGCTCCTATAGTTCCCCGCTCAGCAATAGGGAGTTGGGTTTATCGTCCGTATGAGACCGGGAACCACCAGAGCCGGTCCCGCACCGCTGACGGCCGCTCCAGCTCTCTCGGCCGCTCCATGGGCTCCCAGGCCAAGGTCTTGCCACTGCCGGTCTTCGCAATGCCCACCACATCGCGACCCACACCGGCCACGGGCCAGCAGTAAGCCTGGCCGCCATGGCGGGCAAATAGGGCAAAAAGGCTGGCGCTGTGATAGGATCAGCAGGTGGTGGAGCAATTTTATGGACTTGGAAGAGAAATTATTGTTTCATCCCAAAGGTTCACCAGCAACTCTGCAGCCCATGAAAAGAACATCCAAAGCCAGAATCCTGAAGCATTCTGCTCCAAACTGGCAAAGCCCGGTCATTTGTTGACAAGCCCATGCTTCGAGGAGCTGGGGAAGAAAAAAGAACACAAACACAGGTCCTTCCAGTACCTCAATGCAGGTCCTTCCAGTCCCTGCATCCTTCCAGTCCTGGTAATAAGTCCTCGAATCAAAACGACAACGCGTGTCGTCCGGACCTGGATCGGCGTCGGTGCCGCGAAGCCCAGGGAGAAGAGGGTGGCCATGATAGGTTTTGGGAAGCCGCAGCTATTGAACCTCACCGAGGTGAAGAGCCTTTTCCGTAGGCGCAGCTGGATGTTGGCGCAGCCAAGGGAAAACAGTGGGGGGGGAGGGTGGGTTATATATCTTGGTACAAATTTATTCAGTTTCTCTGTATAGAGCCAACGTATCCACGATTTATCGGTTCCATGACATCAAAGAGGTCCAACATGGAAGCACTTCGACACGTCCATCTTCTGCCCAGGGACGTCGTGAAGGGCTTTGGCACCTGAAGGGCTTCAACGGTCTTCACCGAGTTCAACGAATTCAACGGAAAGATCATCACAAGTCACAGACTGCTTCACATCCCAACTGCTCAATTTTGCCAGGTCAAAGCCAAGGCACCTCCCCTTCGCCACGGACCTGCGCCTGCAACATGAATTTGGAAAACATGACTTCCACAAAAAAATGCAGAATTGATTTTTGGTATATTGTCCTAGAGGTCACCGGAATTGCCCCATGTCCAACCTCAACCAACTGTACATTTGGAGGAAAGAGCGAATGAACTCTGCACTGTTCTGGCCGGAAGAAGTGAAAGGCATACGACTCTCAGTATCCAAAGAGGGGATGTCCTGTCGGTAGGATCTTGACTCTACGAAGTTGCTCTAGCTGCGCGATGAACAAGGACTTACCACTTACGACTTTCACCATTGTTCATCCACCTCTTCATGGTGGGGTTGCCCATACAATCATGAACAATTACCTTGACAACATCTCTTGAGATCTCATGAGGTTCTATTTTGTGATCCGTTTCTTTTAAAGGCACCTTCTTCCCTTGTTCCTTCGTCCTCTTCTTCTTGGTTGCTTGGCACTGCTTCGGCTTAGCTCTTGGTGTCCGTCCCTGTGTCAGTTTGTCTTCTCCCCCCCACCTCAGTGAGATCGGTCTCATTGCCACCCACCTGAAGAAATTGGTCTCTCGCAAAGCTCTCGCAGAGCGGGCAACTCTCATTGCTCCCACTGCAACCGGTGTCGGCCAAATGGTTCGAAATGCTTCTAGGCAATCGTGGAATGCCGGCATCGAATGCCACTGACTTAGACCTTCAAAAGGCTCAGCCACTGAGATGCCAATGCCAGTGCCTTTTTGGGCGATTCATAGGTCCCGGAATGGGAACCTAGCATGTTTAGTGGCGAGAAACTCCACAAACGCCCTGGCACCTCCTTCCCTGTCAGTGTTGGACTGGCATTGCCCCAACCTGCACACGTTGATGGACCCTTTGTCAATGGATCTCTGATCGTCACAATGAGATTCATGCAAAACCCACCTCAAATTCAATGCATGACCTACCAAATACATCAACCACCTTGCCAGCGAAGTGATCCTACAACTTACCAAGACTTGTTGCCTGAACGAGAGTTGTGGAGATGTGTTTTGGCATCAATACCGTCAAAAACCGTCAATGACACAATGCCAATCCCAAGATATTCCCCATTGGATCAGTGAACAGTGAACACCCTTCCCCCGCTGTCTACCTTGGGCTTTGGAGTCAAAATCATTCATGATATCACGGATGAAGTTCACCTCAAAAGGCAAGTGCAAAGCCCGAAGACTAGACGAATGAATGATGAGTGTCTTGACAAAAAAAAAGGAACAATATATGTGTCGAAAGGTCTAAGATGGTCTAAGGATGCACAGAGAGAGAGAGAAAGACAGAGACAGAGACAAACAGAGACACTAACTCTACAACCTGTTTGCAAAATAGAATTTGCGAAAGCTAGTGGTAACAAGTGCATCGCTTCTAGTAACAAGTGCCTTACTAGTAACAAGAAGCGAACGTAGTAACAAGTGCCAGAAATCACTTTTCATCCGGGGGAGTCCTCTCAAAAGTCTTACCATTCAGACGGATGGAACTGCCCAGGGCTCGCTGAGTGCAGCACGTTGTCACCATCGTTGTGCCTCGTCCTGGCCATCTGCATGTCTCTGGTCAGGCACTTTGGTGTTCTAGTAGTAACAAGTGCCACGCTAGTAGTAACAGGTGCCTTACTAGTAGTAACAAGAAGCTAGTAGAAACAAGGCCTTAGCACATGTCCTTGTGCCGGTCTCGGACCGGTCGACCGGTCGACGGGTCGACGGCCGCACCTGGCACCAGGAGGTCGGTAGGGCTGCTTGGTCGTAGCACCTGGCTCGGCAGTCGATGGTTGGAAGTAGGTTGGAAGCAATCGTTGGGTTGGAGGTCATCACAATTCGGTTGGAGGCCATCGCTAGTAGGAAGGAAGAAAAGTTGGACATAAGCATGCGTTGGTGGTCTGAAAGTCATTATTTTTATCTGTTCATGCCATTTCCATATTACAATACTACATGCCAACAATTTGTGTTGTATGCGTTTTCTTTTTGATCGTTAGACCGTTCCTTCATTAGGAAACTGTCATGGGTTTCCTCTAAGACTCTAAGAACATTTAAAGAGGGTATCCGGGCCTCTAGGAATCAGATTGCAATGTCTACGAAAGAAGACTCGAAAACAAACTCACCCGTACACAACAAGATGTAATCAGTTGAATCGGAGGGAGTTGGCTCAGGTAGCTTGCAGTGACTGATTCCTCCAAACTCCGAGCCCGGCGAAAACAGAAAACGCCACAACGCCCAGTCCGCAGTCCGCTCCGGACGCCGTCGGACCTTGGCCACCTTTGAAAGTGTCCACCACATCCCTGAGATCCGTCGGCTGGGCATGGTGAAAGGCACAAAGGGACGAGTCTCCATAGAGTTCTGCAACTTCGAAGGTGTGAGTGGTGAGAGTAGATGGACTTCGAAAACTTGGGTGCCATCCCAGCTGCTCTGCTTCGTCATCAATGTTGGCCCACCTCTCTCGCTTGGTGTCGTGCCCATTTTTCACCTCGAGTAACATCAAACAAGCCCTTAGACCCTCTCTGCTCGCAGAAGCTGCGTGTGTGATTGCATGATAGATGCCCAGTCACAGTCTCTATCAAGCTCTTGGTAGGCGCTGCATCCTTTCCATTCACATGGTTCTTCTCTGCCTCAGCAACTTTACATAAACAGAAACGTGTTGATGTCTGAATGAACATGTCTGACCTCTTTCACCACCAGCAAATACGCCACTGTCCCAACAAGCCCTTACTTCTCACATCTCACTTCTTACTTCTGACAAGCCCTTACCAGAACACCATGTTTCTTCACCCCACCCCTTTTGACCGTTCAATGACCTTCCTTTCGTTTGACTCCACCAGTGTCCTGGAGCCAAGGTCCCAGCCGCCGCTTCCGCACGGCGGTGGGGTGGCACGTAGGCCTCGGTGAAGCATCTCCGTGTTCGCCCGAGCAACGAGCGCCGAGCGACGCAACCGCGTTCGCCGAGCTTCGAAGGTCTCTGGTGGCAACTTCCCTTTGTTACGTTCGTAGTGTTCCTATAGTAGTAATGCCAGCGCCCCGTGCGTCGCGTCCGATCGCTCCTAGTAGCGATGCCTTTTTGTTACTAGTAGCTTCTTGTTCCTGGTACTAATGGCCTCCACATGCCTCCACCCAAGAAGCTTCTTGTTTTCTCGGTCGTGGTCCTGACTACACCTTGCTAGCCATTGGCAAGAAGAGTTGTTTTCACCGGAGGAGGATGGAGCAATTGCTTCTTACTTAATCATATCTGCAATACAAATCAGGCGAACCCAAATCCTCCAAAGAACACTCGATGTGTGATCTACTGGCATTTTTCGCTCTGCAATCAGATCCAATCCGATCACCCAATCGACAGCAAAGCCATCTCGTTTGCTCTTATTGGTTGGCAAGCTACAGGCATTAAGGTTGCAGCTTCTCCACTACACTTTTTGATCTTAAGCCAAAGCTGCATAGAGCTCAGGAACATCACAACTACAACTTACGCATTGCAACATACGCACAAACATCACAACTCTTCGTTGAGATGCTTGGAGAAACTTCCACGAAGGTCAGCAAGGTTGTCCGTCATCCCTTCTGTGCAGCGCACCCAATCTTCCAAGTACAAACACGCTTTCGTTGTGCCTTGAAGTCAAGGAACTGCTTGTTCCTGACAGCGCGCTTCAAACAAACGAAAAGGAATCAAATCGAGGACTCTTCTGGACCGAAAGCGTCCGCAAATCCTCGGGAATCTGTCCCGATCAAGGTTTTTCGGCAGGGAAAAAGGCACATATGCGAACTCCGCTCCATCTTTTACAACAGCTTCCGCTGGAGACTCCGGCGTTCGGCCCCGGCGTTCGGCCCGAGGTTCGGCCCCGGCGCACCGTGACTGCCAGGCTCCATTGCGATTCGAGCGAATCTCTGGCTCTTCCTGCAGAGAGAGATTCCGCCTTAGGTCGTCAATGTCGACAGTGTGGAATGTCGTCACCTTGAAGACTAGATGATACAGTTGCATCAAGGTCAAGGTGACCTTGCATGTTAACTTGGACAATTGGAAGTCACTTCTGCAAAAACAAAAACGGTCCAAATGGTCCCGTGTTAAGAACCGGATATTAATGTTGATGAGATTGAGACTTGTGACCTCAGGATGCATGGATGGACAAAGGTCCAAGAACAACAGTTGGGCACTCCACCATGATGAGGTGGTAGAACGACGAACGGTCAAAAAGCTAAGAAACAAGCCAGCAACCGTGGTATTGGTTGCTACAACTGCCTGCTTCTCCTTTCACAACCGTTTCCTTTGCACCGAGATCTTTCAAGCATGTGTTTGCCGGGTGAAACATGATGAAACTTCCCTTGTGACAATCTCTTCCCTTGCTGCATCAGTCACATTCCATTTCAATCAAGGCACAAATAGACACCGAGTCCTCGATTTAAATCCAACGCCTCATTTGCGCATCTGCATAGAAAGCTTCAAGGATGTCATGAATGGCATGTGTTGTTTGTCTCTTGCAAGAAAGTTCTATGTCAAAGACCTAAGGTCTAAGGAGTTACGACATGCTCTTACAAGGAGTTACATTTAACAGCTTATTTGTTCGTAGTCTTATCTTTCTTTATCTTTCTTTCTGTCATAATGTGTTTCTTGTGTTCTTCTTTCTTTTGTTGACACAAGCATCGACGATATTCCCCGTTCTTCCATTGCCCTAGGTTGCGCCTGTGGAATCTGTCGCGCCAGGACCTCTCAAGACTGAGGTTTGATCCTTGCTGTCCTTGCTCTTAGGTTGGAGGCCATCGCTAGTAGGTTGGATGCTTGTTCACTTCGATCCGCACATCACATCAGGTTCTGATCCGCCGAACACTCAAAGTCTTAGATCAACCCGAGACACAACCGTGCTGCGAAGAAACGAATCTCCCATTCTCCGATACCCCTCAGTGCCGCCTGCGTGCCCCAGTGCCACTGCACATCCACCTCAGTTGTTCAGGCAGCAAAACCGCTGCTGAACTGTAGCTCTCTTGTCTGGGATCATCTCAACAACTGGTGTATGTGCAATTCTCTGCATTTCAGATGATTCCTCGTTTCATTTCAGCACCCCTCTGAAGCTAAGGCACACTTCCTACAAGTGGCAGCGCAAGAAGCAAGGATGCCAACATGAGATCTTCCCAACCAGAAACTGCAAGAGTTGGCTTCAAAACATTCTAAACTTGTTAAATGGTTTCCTTCTCTCTTGTGAAATGGGCTGAAATGGTTTGCTTCTAAACATATATATATATAGTTCTGTTTCCCTTTTCAGCCCGACTGTCTAGTCGAATTGACATCACTTGAGAGCTTCGTTTCCTGCGGATCGACTCCGAGCTCACGAAGAGGTTCACTGTGAGTCTAAGACTGTCCAGGTCGCTTGCTACCGAGCGTGTGTAAGAAACATGTGGCCCGGAATCATGTGCTCTTAAATTCAAAAAGCAACTGTATATATATAAAAACTCGCTTGGTCCTTTTCAATGCGCTCCGCAGTTGAGTCACAA